GGTGAAATAATTCACCACACGTGTTCCTCCACTTTAATTGTCAATCCATTCACATCCCTTCCTGTCGGAGTTGTCATTCTTTTCTCATTGAGATTCTGGTCATTCACCTCCTGTTCAGAGTATTTCATTTCACTCAGCACTGTTCATTAGACATTCATAGAAAAAAAAAGTGTCTCATTTTAGAGAAACTGACACCTGTCACTCAAGCGAAGAATAAGAGTTCACGGATTCAGAAAAACTTAGGCAAGTGGAACACCATGAATATCCAAATGAGTCAAATCACAGACTATATTTTCAATCCTAAAATTACTCCTAGAGATTTTCTGGCTTACATAATTAAATATTTAATAACTCTATGTTCTAAAACTGCATCTGTTTCATTCCAGAACCTTGACTATTCCTTACAAGTTGTTTGGATTTACATTCCCAGGTCATAAGCTCACCAGGTGGATTTCCTTTAGATCCAAGTCAACAGATCCATGGAAGTTAGGATTGAATCTGGATTATAAATACTATGCGAGCTACAATTAACAACTGTGTGTGATTTACAAATCTCAGTCATTAGACGCTCCTCCTGGGCCCCAGTGACTGAATTCCCCTGCACTTTACTCAAAGAGTTTTGCGATTAAAAAACAGTATGTGGGGCTTTTGCCTTGAGGGACTTACCCTTTCCATAATTCTAACCTGATTGAGAAATAAAGGACAGCTCTGGACCTTAGGATCACTAATGGTCTTCACCTCTCCTCAAAAAGTCTTTATTGTATTCTCTGAGAGCTTTATTATAATGAGTTTTAGTTTATTTCCAAGTATTAGTTTCCTGGAAGATTATAAACTAATCTATTAAGGAACTATTAATCCTAAGGAAACATATTTTTTAACCTTTATTAATGAATAATTGATGAATATCATTGTATATATTTAAAGTTACAACGTGATGACTTTATGTACATATACATTGTGGATTTATTACCAAGATTAAGGGAATTAACACATTCATCACCTCACACAGTTAACTACTTCTTTTGTATGTGGTGAGTCTGTGTAAGATCTACTATCAGCAACTTTTAGGTATACAAAACCATCGATTAATGATAGGCACCATGCTGTGCATTAGATCCTCAGAACTTACTCTTCTTATAACTGAAAACACATATCCTTTGACCTAGATTACCCCATGGAAAGCTGTTTGAAGACACATTCTTTGAGATGCCTCCTACGGTCAAGGTCATGTTTTCACAATTATTCCTGTTACTAATTTGGAAGAACTTCCATGAGATCCCCTCTGGCTTCCCCTTTTCTGTTCTTGCAGACATCCTCAGGGCTCTGCTTTGCATCCCCTGCTCCTGGATCTTTCTAGCCTTACTTCCTCCCCAGAAAGAACAGTCAATCCTATGGCTCCGCTATGCTCCAAAGTGAAAATACCCAAATATGTCTTGCTATATGGGCTTTTAAACTATGAATTTTGAAAAGGTATATAAAGGATATTATCTCCATAGCTACATATAAACACTGTTAATATACATATTATGTATATGCATGGATAAAACACATTTGACGCTCACTGTAGATACATTTTTTCCAAACTACTTTTCAGCCATCATAGTGTCACTAACTCTTGAAAAAGACATAAAAACAAACAAAACAATACAATTGCTCTCCTTCTGTTTCCAGAGATACTTACATTCAACACCTTAGAATATTTTACATTGATCGTCAATCTTTCTTTTTTTGCATATGTAAACCTCATACGTGTTTTATAACTTCTTATCATGGATCATTTTTCCTCAGTTTTATTAATTGATGTCATAATATTATTCCTTGTGCATTAAATTATTTATGGAAAATATCTTGCCCAAGAAAATTTCAGTTACTTTGGTAACACAATACACAAATTTAATAAAAATGAGTTCTGAATAGTGTACTTACTTTGATGGTACATTGATAGTTAAAAAGGGCACTGCATTGAAAAAGAGAAGAATCAGAAGGTTTCCTGACCAGTGACTCAAACAAAACTAGATTAATTCTCTGCAGATATCATCAGAATTGCTTTTCTGGAAGAAATCCTATTGTTTTGCAAGGGAGATCAAGAGCGAGATACCCCTGCATCCATCTTGAATTTACAGAAAAATATAGATCCATTCCACAGGGATATGTCTGGTCTTTCAGCTGTGGATATAATTTAGTTTCACCTGATCTGAGTGTCAAAAGCAAACATATTTATATACCTGCTAAAGGAATGTGCACACAGACTCCCTAGGAGTCATCAGTTTTATACCTATGCCTGGAGGAAATTTTCTCTGAAAGAGCTAAATATAAACTGAAGGAGATCATAAGAATTTATGCTTTAAAGCTAGAAGACATTGTTTGTCCAAAAGCATTTATAATAAAGAACTTTGCCATAATCACCAGCCAGTCATCCATGGTTATATTCCTCAGTCCTCCTGAGAATTTCCAGGCTGTAAATGCGCTTTTCACTTGTGCATTCGCTGGCTCTGGCCACTGCGTCGCTAGAGGGCAGTATTCTTATTCAGACCCAAGACAGCTCAGAAAATTCTGCTGGCTCTAGCTCATTTTCCTTTTTTGAAAAGCAGGGGGGAAACATGCAGCCCTACAGAAGGACAGGGTTTCCTTTGGAGGAAGTCTCTATTTCTCAGGAGGGGAAAAACAAGAGAATCACGATGAAAGATGCAGAGTGCCAGGAATATTGTGAACAAAGCAATACAGTTCTAGATGTATGAGTCACTTAACAATAAAGTTACTAATCAGCTGGTGCCATGCTCCCCGAGGTTCCAGGGTGTTTACCCTCACATTTGTTTCCATTTCTCAAATGGAAGCTGGGGTTTTGCAAGGAAAAGGAAAAAAAGAGAATAATCAAACCAATTCAGCTTTTCTTTTCTTCTCCTTTTGGCAAAATGGAAAAATCCACACAACTGTGAAACATCTATTAGGACTCAATATTATAGATAATTACAAGACACTAGGTACAATTAATTGCCTTTGGTATACAGCAAATTCTTGTTGCTTATCTATTTACATACAATAGTTTGTATCTGATAACCCCATACCCCTAATCTGTCCCACCCTTCTCCCTCTCTCCTTTGGGAACGTAAGTTTGTTTTCTATGTCTGTGAGTCTATTTCTGGTTTGTAGATAAGTTCATTTGTATCATTTTTTTAGATTCCACAAATGTGATGCCATATCATATTTGTCATTCTCTGGCTTATTTCACTAAGCATAATATTCTGTAGGACCATCTATGTTGCTGCAAATGGCAATATTTTATTCTTTTTTCATTTGTTCAGTAATTATCTCTTTAAATATTTTTCTTATTGTTACCCAAACCCTGGAGTCTGATAGATGATGCCAAATAGGTACTATATATATATATATATATTTTTTTAGAATATCATTGGTTATTTTGTGTCATAGGAACAGGTTCTTAATGACTGTCAGATGGACAAGAATAGGAATAAGAACAGTGCTCAATTTGTTGATGAAGCACTAGCGTAGAAACACAAAAACACAGAGAGAATATGCGTCCTGTTTGCCCACTTTTCTCTCTCAGCAGTGAGTACAGCAGGTGATGCGAAGGGGTCTCTTTCACAGTCATGGTCTCACGGAACCATGGAATGAAAAGCAGAAAAGCTTGAGAAGCTACTTTCCTTCTGGGAGCATATGACGACACCATATTTTCCTCAAGGCGTTCTTCATCTCCACTATTCTCAGCGTGTAGATCAGAGGGTTGAACATGGGGGCAATGATGGTGTAGAAAAGAGCAAACACTTTATCTTCTGGGAAAGTTGTGGCTGGTCTAATGTAAATGAATAATGCAGGTGCAAAAAACAGGACTACAACTGTGATATGAGAACTGCAAGTGGAAAGAGCTTTGCTGCGGCTCTCCATGGAATATGCCCTGATGCTGTGCAGTATAAAAAAGTAAGACACCAACAAGACAACAAAGGTCACCAAAGCAATTAGGCCTGAATTAGCAACGGCTAAGGGACCTACGATATGTGTATTAGAACAGGCCAATTTCAGCAAAGGATACACGTCGCAGAAGTAGTGATCAACCTCACTGGGGCCACAGACCAGTATAAAGATGGTGAGAAGAAACTGACTGGCGGAGTGCATAAACCCCCCAGTACAACAAGCTAGGATGATTGCATTACACCTTTGTCTGCTCATGATGACAGTGTAGTGCAGGGGTTTGCAGATGGCCACGTAGCAGTCATAGGCCATCCCGGTGAGGACAAAGATCTCAATGCCTCCAAGGAAGTGAAGGATAAAAAGCTGTGTCATGCAGCTACTGTAGGAAACGGTCTTCCTTTCTGCCAATAAATCAGTCATTAGTTTGGGCACCACTGTTGATGGGTAGCAAAGGTCTGAGAGTGAGAGGTAATTAAGGAAGAAATACATGGGTTGGTTAATGAGTGGACTGCATGTGATAGAAATCATTATGAGCAAATTTCCCATCCAAATAGCAAGGTAGCAAAATAAAAATAAGATAAAGCAAAGGATTTCGATGTTCTTGTTTTGCGATAAACCCAAGAGAATAAACACAGTGACATTATTGCTTTTTTCCATGGTCCAGCGTAAACAGAACACGTAAATCGCCTGAAATGACATAATTCATGAACCTATATTTGGAAATGTTTATTGAGACGAGGAATGATCATATTCTTCTCAAGGCACGAACTGGGTTTAATATGCCTCATTCAAGTGTCTCAGAGAATAGAAACCAGGTATTCAATTAAGTGTTCTCTACTAAGTCTCTGTGTGAGCATATACTAGCTGATTCATTAAATCTCCCAGCAAATTGTGATCAGTGTCTGCCTTAGTCAATATGAATTCCCTTAATCAATCCATAAGAGTCCTGAATGGTGCTGGGAAGATGTCAGTGATTGACTAACAATGTGTTCCAACAAATGCTTTTATAAGTTTAAATAAAAAAATTTAAGATCAATTCTTACCAAATGTCTTCATGATGTCTGCACTTTGGTAGTGTATATTTTTCAGCCTCAACTTCATACCTACCAGGCTTCTCAATAAATTCTTACATAAATGTCCTCTTCAACTCTTCCTATTACTAAGTTACAATTGTTATCCATACGATGAATAATCACATGTAACAGAGAGAGAATTTTAAAAGAAAGATACTTGGTTCCAAAGAAGAATTTTAAGTACTTCTATTAATTTAGAATTAAAGTAATTTTAAGAATTTGCTTAAAGACAAAATTATTGAGAAATTGCTTCTGCTGAGTCTCAAAGTCAGCTATAGTAATATTAGCCAATACAAGAGAAATATTGTTTAATTTAAATAAAATAACAATGTTGAATATATGACTAGCTTGGATTATTCACTACATATATCTGAAATATGCTCTTTATCCTCCCCTAAAACATATTAAGGTTTTTACATAATTTAAGTCTCTAAATCAATAAGTCTGGGGATGTCCTCAAGCAAAGTCAGTTCATCAGTCTGTATTTATTAGGAATTTACTAAAATATTACTTGAGTCTTAGTTGTCTGGGTTCAGAAGGCTACAGCTATGCTTAATTCCCTACCTGTCAGTCCCCCTTAATTCAACTTCCTCACAGATGTAGGACTACTATGATTAACTAGCGCATATTGCAATGTCTTTAAAAATTATGAGTACAATTTAATCATCCATCATAGTTTTGGGGCAATTCCTGGTTACATGTCTTAACTCAGCCACCAACTTCAGAAAGAACTTTGAAATCAGTTAATTTCTTGTAAAATTCTTTTTTTCTTCATTTTAAACCTATGAAACATACCCTGCTCTATGAAATTCAGAATGCTCCTGGGACAACTTTGATCACATATGAGAAAGTGTTTTTTAAGGAATAAATTAGTGCACACATGACAGTATTATTGCATACAAAGAGAAATAAATTATGTTTAGAGGTTAAGAAATTTGTATATGATAACACAATTAGTATATAGCAAACTAGGGTTTATAACTTGAGTTTCCTGACTCCACTGTTTGTGTTTATAATCTTTCAAAAAGGGACACATCAGAGCAGCAGGATAGATTTAACATTAACCCTGCCTCACCAAACTCTGAAGTTAGAATACAGTTCTTAATCTTACAGATAAAACCAAGAAACCTCCTGAATAAATCATTGTTCCATTTTAGTCACACACACTTAAATAAAAAATATATAAATTGGGAGTTGGAGATTTGCAGATACTAACTACTATATACAAAATAGATAACAAGTTTATACTGTATAGCACAGGGAACTATATTCAATATCTTGTAGTAACTTATGGTTAAAAAGAATATGAAAATGAATATATGTATTTTCCTATATGAATGAAGTATTGTGCTCTACACCAGAAATTGACAACAACATTGTAAACTGACATTGTATACATTGACATTGTAAACATTGTATACTTCAATAAAAATATATTTAAAAAAAGAAAAAAAACTGTGTAGCACAGGGAAATATATTTAATATCTTATAATAACCTTTAATGAAAGAAAATATGAAAACGAACATATGTATGTACATGCATGACTGGGACATTGTGCTGTACACCAGAAGCTGACACGTTGTAACTGACTGCACTTCAATTTAAAAAAAGAAAAAAAATAGAAACATAGAACATAGATAAGCTAAAGTCTCTGAAAAACCATAAACCAAGTCAGTTCAGTATTCTGTCATAAATCAGCTCTAAAATCTAACAAATGTTCAGCTCGCTTACTTCTGCAAGAAGCAACTTCTTCCTCTCTCAAGCGTGAGTACTAACACTGCATCCTCAGCTCCCTGGCCGTGTGAAAAACAGGCATGAGAAAAACATTCAGGTGCACACCCTGACACTGCCACTCCTTACATCCATGCCCTTGTGTGCTCTTGGCTCATAAGTTCTTTACCTGTGAAATGAGGGAACAAATTTCATTCTTCTAAGAACCTTTTCCACCATCATGTCCTTTTCAGAATTAAAATTATTATATTCTTGGCCAATGTTTTACTGACCATCTCCTTAGAGTTGTAACAGTGTCCCCTTTTTTATGTGTAGTCACCTAATAAAATAGTCAGTGTTATTCTATGATTTCGATCTGATTTTTCTAGAAAATGTCACCCCACCTTCAGTAGACAACCAGATCCTCCTTGAATTTACTGCTCCCTGAATCCAAAAATTTCTTAGACTATAGAAATCATAATAAAGTCTATTTTAAAAATCAGTTGTTAATTAGTATCTTCTTAACCCAGTAGTTAAAAATGTATTTTCAACAAATATGACATATTTACGGAGGATGATGGCAAGGGAGAAAGGAATAAAGTATTCACATATTTTCCTCTGCACTTATTTTGAAACGTTTCTTCTTTTATAGCTTTTTCTGTCCTCTTTTCATTGAAATTGCAGACATTCCTTAACTACTTAAATAATTTCCTTTCCTTTCTGACGTGAGTCCTACTGAGGAGCTTCACTTTCTAATTTTCCCCAGTCTATACCTGAAAACTACAAAATTCACATAATCTTAGTAACTACTGTGACCTATCACACGACCAAATCAAATAAATGATGGGAGGTGACCGCACAGGAAAAAAGCCTGAAGGCAGGGAGTCCTTTGTTTCCCAAAGTAGTCAAATCCACTTCTTACGGACTCTGTACATCACCACATCATTCCTGAGTGTTTTAGGTGCAAAGCTAAGTAAAATTTTAGGGAAGGTTTCTATCCTAAAGATGCATTTGTTTCCTCCTAAGACATTGCTTATTTAGTTCAAGTTAATTTTTATATGCTCCCAAGTCATCAACCCACCAGTTAGTGTCCTTTAAACCCGAATTACCAGAGCACCTCTACAACTGGACAATGAATGCCCTGCAAGATGAGGGAACTGTGGCATGTGGTTAGAATCTCATCCATCCAAGAGCCCTTGAAGACAGAGAGCTACTGTTTATACCCTTGGAGTTTCTTTTCTCTGCTGTGATTCAAGGAAGGCTATCGCTCTGGACCTTAGGTGAAGAAAGGATCTCCATCCATCCCCATGCGGTATTTATCACGGGGTCTAAGGTCAAAGAACATGTGTGTTCGTTCCTTAATGTCTTTCCAGTTAAGGAGAATTTTACTGGAAAGTTACAGATACATAGAACATTCTTTCATGTATTTTTTAGGTTTACAAAGGGCTTACTAAAATAATTTGTTGACAATGGAGTTGAACATTCTGTGATTTTGCTCTAGTCTTGTATCATTTTCAGTAGCCTTTCCTCTTTATCCATCTACATTCAAAACGAACGCTTGCTTCTGCTCTGCTCTGTGAAGTCCACTAACAATAGCAAACATCTAGTAAACACGCGCTGCCCACTAGATATGAGCCAATTGTCGGGGTTTAGCTTATTTATCTTCACAACAACCCTATGGGAGAGATACTATTATCAGTCCCACTGCACCGATGTAGAAAGTGGGGCACAGCGCAGATTCTCAAGACAGAGGTTACATTAACAGGGAGAAGGAATGACTGCCTGTAAAAGGATGGAGATTTTTACTTATTTATTTTTTATCCTGAATAAGCTATATGGGAACTGACTTTATGATTCATTATTCTGTACATTATTGCATCTTTGGCCATCTTATCTTATTTAGGGACTAAAGGTTAAAATGATAAAAGTATAAATACAACCTAAGGGCATAGCCCAAGGTACTGAAAGTTAATACAAGCTGTAAGTCTGTTTTACTTCTAAAGCACAAATTACCAAAGGACTCTGGGAGAACTCCTTATCATCTGTCTATTTCACATAATACAATTAAATATTTTTTTTACACCTCTTTGCCAGGTACATGTCTTCCTCAGTCCTGACTTAGTCGTGTTGTCACCTCCTCAGATCTCAGAACTTCCTCCACAGGATCCCCGGTGCTCCTCTTCTCTTCCATCCTTCTGTCCTCACTCTCCCGTTCTTTCTATTGATACCTGTTTCCTCAAAAAACTCATTTCTCCGTGGGTTCTCTTCCCCCTGAACAAAAAGCACCGAAGTATTTCTTCCTGGATTCTTTAAAAACATCTTAAAGATATTTTTTATAAATATGATGGCTTTTGAGTGACTTGTTGTGTAAACTTCAAGCCATGGGTCAAAGTTCATTTTCTGCAATTTGGCCAGTTGTTCTAGCCCTGTTCGTTAAAAAAGACTATCCTTTCTCCATCAAATTACCTCTCCCTTTGTGTCAAAAATCAGTGGACATCTGAATGACTCTATTTATGGGCTCTATTCTATTCCATGGATATTTGTATATAGATTTTCACAAATACCATGCTGCCTTCATTACTGAAACTTTATAGTAAATCTTGAAATTATGTAATGTGTGTTCTCCAACACTGCTTTTCATTTTTGGGGACTTATTTCAACTATTCTATCGGCATTGCCTTTTTATATGAATGTGAGAATCAGCTTGATATTTGAAAAAAAAGCTTACTGGAATTTTGATAAGATTGCATTGAATCTAAAAAACAAGTTGGAGAAATAGAAATCTTAACAATCGAGAGTATTCTAATCAAAAAGCAGTGTATATCTCTCCATTTGTTTACATCTTCTTTGATTTATTTTATAATTGTTTTGTA